AGTATACGAGGACATTTGCTCAAACATGTTCATAGCAGCTTTATGTGTAATAGCCAGAATCTGGAAACAACCCAGATGTCAATTGAAGAATGGATACAAAAATTCCCTTTACACAATGGAATACTACTTAGTTATTAAAAACAAGGAAATCATGAAATTTGCAGGCAAATGGTGGAAACTAGAAAAGATCATCCTGAGAGAGGTATCCCAGAAGCAGAAAGACACACATGGTATATATTCATTTGTAAGTGGATATTAGACATACAATAGAGGATAAACATACTAAAATCTGTACACCTAAAGAAGCTAAGCAAGAAGGAGGACCCTGGGTACGATATTCAATCTTCATCCAGCTAGCCAGTTCTTTTATAAGTTACATTAATCACTGGTTCACACAGAACACATTACAATGGCTTGATCTGGCAACAAGAAAAAGCAAAAAGAAGTCTTGACATAACTTACTTGTCTTTCTCTTTTTATAAAGTATGTAAGCTAGGGGTGAAGCGTGTGCTCTTCCAACTTGAACATGTTTTTACGACAGAAAATGGAATGAAATCTCACTCTGACAACTGTTTATTTATTTCACGTGTATATTGAGGAGGTAAAATATTACAGAGACTATGCTAGATTTGAAGGAAACAAAAACAAAATGTTTTCTTTGGTTTAATAAATTTTAAATATGAGATATTACTTCAGTATTTTCCTTTCTTCTTTCCTTCCTTCCTTCCTTCCTTCCTTCCTTCCTTCCTTCCTTCCTTCCTTCCTTCTTTATTCTTTCCTTCTTTTTTATTCCTTTCTCTCTTCAGACAGGGATTTCACTATGCAGCTGAGGCTTTTCTTGAACTTATGACCCTCCTACATCAGCTTCCCTAGTGCTTGAATTACAGGCATGTAACACCACATCTGGCTTCAACAAATCTTAAGAAATGAATTAAATGACAATATATAATATGGTCCTAAGAGGAAATGAAAGTCAAAACTACTGCATAGTCATTGGTGATTAAAAAGTATAATGCTATACAAATTTCCTGTGGCTGATCCACTTCAGGAAAGTCATCTGGAAGGTTGTAACAAATGCCAGGCCACCTACAAGTCAAGGGACAGTTTTTACCTGGATTCAGGAAATGACAACAAAGCCACAGCTCTAGATGTTTCCAGATGCTGCTTTTTTTTTTTTTTTTAAGCGAAAACTCTTCTCACAACATCTGGATTGATAGGTGACTTTGAAAGTTATTCCTTTCTGGATTCTTCACTGCTCATTGATGAGAGTTTTATTTTGTAAAGACAGAGGCTAGTAGAGCAGTGGTTCTCTAGAGAGAAAATTAATGGAGATTTCTCCCGTGAGTAACCAATTCAGCTCAAGTTTTCAAGTTGCTGTCATTGTCACAGAGCAGATGTTTTCTGCAGATGCCAGTGTCTATGTCTAAATTTCTTTTTCAGGAATGGCTTTAGACACTGCAAATAGCAGTCTTCTGGGGATTGCTAATGCTCGTTTTGTTTTTGTTTGTTTGTGTGTGTGTGTGTGTGTGTGTGTGTGTGCTTTATGTTTTTGATGGATATATCAAAACACAGTGAGGATATAGCATGGAAATGCTGTATGATAGTTCATGTCACACGTACAATGTGTAATATGCAAATCATACATACCGGCTACTCTTGCCATTCGAGTGGGGGAAGGGGTAAAAGTTGAGCTGTAAGTTTGAAGCCACCCTGGTTTGCATGATGAGGTTTGGATCCACCTAAATACACAATGAGACTCTGTCAAAAAAATAAATAAACAAATAAGTAAACAGCAACAGAAGCAAATTGGTTTAAGCACACCTAACTCCTCAAATGTTAGTCATTTCATGGGCAATGACATTCACAATCCTCCCAGTTTCACTTTTTAATTATGCAGTTTGTTATCAGTGTTTGTGGTCATTGTGCCATAAGATCACAGAACTTTTGATCCTTAGTATATAGTTAACACTGTTTAACCTTTCCTCAGCCTTTCGCCAGCTCTGGCAGCCTCCTCTCTGCCCCCATTTTTTATGAGATCAGCTTTTTTAGATTAAGCTTGTGCGTGAGGACATGAGCCGCTTGTCCCTCTGTTTCTCATTTACTGCACTTAGGACAACAATCTTCCAACTCTATTTCTTTACATATATACCATGGAATACTTGGTGTTTGTTTGTTTTAGACAGTATTATAGTGGAACCCAGCCTGGCCAGAGATCATAGCAAATCCTCCTGTGTCGGCCTCATAAAAGCTGGGTTGCAAGTATGAATTAGCATCCCGGAGGGGAAAGGCTAGTGGGGAAAAAAACAATGGAATTCCCATTTGCAACACTATGGATGGAACTAGACCTTTGACTCTTGAAAACAACTGCTTTTGGGTTATGTCCATTCTGCGGGTGTCAGAGTAACTTCCAACAGCAACCCAGGGCTACACTCTGCATTTCTGTGTGGTTGTTTTTGGTTTACGTGTATTCGTGGATGTATTCTCATTGATGTTTCTCAATTAATAATGAAACCAAGTTACATTTTGGTAAAAAAAAAAAAAAAAAAAAAAAAGGAGAGAAGAACTAAAAGACTCATGGAGGTATTGATATATTTATGAACATGTCTACATGACTAGACACAGGGAAAGGAGCTAAAGAGCTAAAAGTGTTGGTGAAGAAAACGAATCTTTTCTAGCCTCCATCCTCACTGGGTTCTCTTTATTTTTCTCTTATTTTAACTTCACTTCTCCCACTTATGCACATACATAACTGAGGCACACCTTAGCTATATGAATGGTAAAGGGGATGGGGCCTGGCACTGTGCCCAGTGCAGACTCAGGTCACAGGGTATAGAAAGGCAGCCTGAGCTCAAGAAGCCTGTGCAGAAGCCGAACTGTAGCTGCCAGATATGACCCAGCCTCTGCCAGAACAATGCAGAGGAGTCATTAGGACAGAATGTCTGTGGGCAGACTGACCCAGAACAGCCTTTGCTTCTGCATGCATAACTTATGTACCATCAGTTGCACAGCTGTAAGCTTAAGGTTGTGATAAAAGTGCCTATCATAAAAAAAATTAGACACAGATTAGCAGATGTTTTATAAACAATGAAAGACAGAATGGTCTTTTAAGATCAGAAAATTACAAAGCTTTTAACCTTACCATTTCTATTAAACGTTGACCTAAAAGTCCTCAACAGTACAGGAGACATGAAAAATAAATAAAAGGTGCAAGTATTGAGCAAGAAAACCTAAATCTGTATTCTTTAGATTATGATAATAGTATATACACAGAAAACCCTTACACTGACAAAACCCATTGCTGGAAAGCATGAATATAAACAGAATATAGAACATTTTTATTTTACTCACCAATTTCAAAAGAAGGAGGAAAGAAAAAAAAGAAAAATAATTTTAAAGGAAATTTTAAAGATAAAATTTAAAGGAAATTTATCTTAGAATCATCAAATACATTAAAATTTATTACAATTAGCAAAAGTCACATAAGTCATATATATATATGTACATATATATACATGTAGAGAGCATAAAGTCCTTGTGATACAGATAAGCACTGGGGATATCAAGACTGTTAAGCTCACAGGATTGTTCCTTCAAAAAGATGTGCTTATTTGTTTGTTTGTTTTCTACCAGAAGCCTGGGAAAGGATGTGATTAATGTCCCAGTGACCTCTGTAGTACCTGTAAGGCCAGGCCACACTTGGATCTCCAGACTATTGTAAACAGCTGGACATGGTTTACAGTCTAGGTGACCCTGATAGTATCTGTATAACTAAGGACAGTCAGATCCTCCCCTAGGCTCTTAAGATAGCACATGGAGTATAAAAGCCCATCTTTATGGAAGGGCTAGGGTGTACTTGGAAAAAAATTCAACTTAGTTATCCCTTATCGTGCACAGAAGTTTATGTTACAGTAGGGAACTCTTGAGGTTTGACCCTGCGTGAATTACTGCATTAGACCTCTTCCTAGACTCACACTTACAGACACTCTGCTGGTGTTTTCAGAGCCCCCCCCCCACAACATAAATTAGACATTAGTATTCACAACATAAATTAGACACATTGAATAATAGAGGTATTCAAATGATGCTAGATTTTTCAAGATTTGACACTGCTAAGATAGCTGAGTAATGAGTTCAGAATAATTTAAAATAAAATTTCAATAAATCTCCATTTGGAAATTAGTAAGTCCTAAAGATTATGTGGAAATACAAACAAAGCAGAAAAGGAGGAGGAGCGAGAAGAGGAGGAGGTCTTTTAATGAAGAGAAAGCTTTTTATAAGAAAAATTGAGTTCCTTACCGTTAAATTTTTCTCCAAGACTATACTGATATTTCCAAAAACCAACCGAACAGAGGAAGGGATTTAAAATTGCGCACAGGGCTAGACAGATGTTCCAGCTGTTATGAGCACTGGTTGTTAACACGATGACCTGAGTTTGAGTCACAGCACCCACACGGCAGATTGCAACCTCTTGTAATTTCACTCCCAATGAATCTGAAATCCTCTTGCGGCTTCTACTGGTGCCTACGCATGCGAATGGTTCGCATACAAACCTGTGGGTAAAATATTCGTATTCATAAAGTAAAAATAAGTCTTAAGAACATAAAATAAAACAAAGAACAAACAGTGAAATGATTTTCAGGAGAAATGAGAAGGATATACAAATGGAAAAGCGAATGTCTTCAGAGAGTAGAGACGGTACTACCCAAAATTAGTGTGGCATTCCCATTCCGACCTGAATTGAAAAGTATCGCGAAAATAAATAAAAACTACTATTAGAAGATAAATATGGGGGAAAAAAACCTGTGTGAACTTGAAGTAGGTAAAATCCTTTGAATAAATTGAAAATAAAATCCAAAACAGAGAAAGTTGATAATTATTTTCTGAAATTTAAACCTATTTGAAAAGCATATTATAATATTAAAAAAAGAAAGCGACAGACTGAGCAAAATTTTAACAAATTAGATATTTAACAAATAATATATACTCAATGTGTGAGTATAATGAAGCCCCTTAACTCTTTCCCTTCTGCCACCGCCACGCCATCCACACTGAGGAAGCGCAGTCAACTTTGGGACTACATAAGCCATGGTCTCAGGACTCACTGCAAGACCCAGGAGGCCACAGAAGGCTGGCAGCATGCGTCACCACAGGAGCAACTTCGACAAGAATCATCCACGTTACTTTGGGGAAATTGGTGTGAGGCATTACCACTTAAAGAGGAACCAGAGCTTCTCCTCAACTCTCAACCTGGAAAAATTGTGGTTCTGGTCAGTGAGCAGACATGGGTCAATGCTGAAAAACAAAACAAAACAAGGCAAGCGCTGCTCCCATCAGTGACGTTGTTTGTGTGGTCAGGGCGCTCCACCATTCTGGGGAAGGGCCCGTTCCCTATGCAGCTTGTCACCGTAAAGGCCAGAGTCTTCAGCAGAGGAGCTGAAGGGAAGATCACGGCTGTCGGAGGTGCCTGTGACCTGATGGCTTGAAGCCACCCGGAGAGGTGAATTAAATGCTAACACCCCCCCCAACAACAAACAACAACATATGATATACAAATACTATGAGGCCAAATAAACCTTTAGAATTGAGAAAAATTGAGAAAATTTGTATCCTGTTGTGTGTTTTACATGTACATAAATACTAAAGAAAAACAGAAAATCAACACCATAGTCATCAGATATTACGTGTATATGTAGAATTGGCTAAAATTTCAAAGATCTCTATGCTTAGGACTTGAAAATTATGTGAAACAAATAGAAGGTATGCACCTGTGATAAAAATGGAAGTTTCTTCCTTCCATTCGTGTTGCTCCGACAAAAACCTGAAAAGGGCAAGTTAGGGAAGGACGGTTTTATTTTGTTCACAGCTCCAGGTTATAGTCCATTGTTCTGGGAACTTAAAGCACCATATTTACAAACAGGAACGGGGAAGAATAAATGCCTGGGATCCTCCTGTGTTTGCCTGCTTGCTTGCCTACTGCTTGTACTCAGCTACCTTCCTTCACTCTTTCACATTGCAAAACCCAGCCAATGAAATGGTGCTGCCTACATTCAGAGTGGATGCTCACCTCAGTGAATCACGTTATCAGCCGCAGGCCAATTTGATCTAGGCAATCAAGACTCCCTTCTTAGGTGATTCCAGATTTTTATCAAGTTGACATTAAAAATGACCAGCACAATTGCCCCTTGTGTGCTTAACAACCCAGTGACATTACTTTAAGACATAACTTTGCCCTGGTATTCCCAAATTCTCAGGTTAATTTCATAATGTAAACTATAGTACAGTTTTTAAGATTGTAGTTTCTAAATATTTAAACACTTAAAAAATTGGAGGCATCTTAGAATTCAAAACCCTCTTTACAAGTCCAAAATAACTGTGCTACCCCCCCCCCTTTAATGTTCTAAGGACTAGGCAGGTTGTTCAGTGGTAGAGAACACTGGTTTTCAGAGGACCCAAGGTCATTTTCCAGCACTCAGGAAGCTTACAGCTGCTTGCTACTGCAGTTCCAGGAGTCTTCTGTCTGTACCTGGCTTCACTTGCACAAACCCACACACAGCCACACACACCTTTATTTTTTTTTAAGTTATATACACAAATCTTGTTATTCTAAAAGGGAAGAATTGTGGCAGGAATTGTGGCAAAGGAACAATGACACTTAAACAAAACTGAAATTCAGCAGTGTAAATCCAAATCCAGGAGTTCAGTATTCAATATCTGGAACTTATCTCTGGGCTCCAGAGATTTCTGTAGCCTCCTTCTTCCAGCTGTGCCGTCTGCAGTACAGATTCTCTCTTGGGCTTATGCTAGCTCCATTCCACACCTGAATCTCTCTTGGGTAGATGCAACACAGTCCTGGCAACTCAACTGTTCTGAAGTCTCCATTTCCACAGAGGCTTCATCTTGGCTAATGGTATCCCAAGGCCTCTTTTAGGAGATTTCAAACATCCTGACACAAGATGCCAAGCCTTAAATGCTCACCACCACCTGTTTTTGCCTCCAAAACCATGTTGACAGCTCTTACATTGCCTCATTTTGCTGATATGTCGATTGGTTCCCCTGGACCACAGCTCCAGCAACTTTTGTGTACTCATCCAGAGGAAACATTGTTGTTTTGTTTTTCTTTATGTTTCTGTGACATATATGTCCTATATGTGAATGCAACCCAGAAACTTCCTCAGGAACACTAATCTCAAATCAATGAAAACTGCTTCAGTCCCAACCTAGTGCGCCTACATGTTCCATACCCACACATATTCCTAGCCCAAATCATGTGAATGGCTCCAAACCTGTCTCCACTCCTCCTAAAGATCTTGTCCCCCTCCCCCCTGTCTAAACCAGGCATCCACAGTCCACATTTCTCTCACATTTTTATATTACAAGTTTGCACTAGATTGGCCTGTTAAGCTCTGCCTCTAGCACTCCCCATCATCTCCAGCCTAATGGTCCATTGGTTCCAGATATCCTCAAAGAACAAAAAACAAGGAACAAAAGTCCAAGGAACAAAAGCCACGTGGTTAGGTCTACCAGAACAAGACCTCGCTTTTTTTGTTTCTGCTCTAGTTTCATATCTGTTACTATGACAAACTGCCTAAAAAAAAAAAAAAAAAAAAAAAAAAAGGATTTATAGAAGAAAAGTTTATATGAGTCATAATTTTGGCAGCAGTCCTTAAATGCAGAGAAATCTCAGTACCAGGAACTTGTAGCCCTGGCCATAGTGTATTGCCAGTCAGATACAGAGAAAAAGTTGTTAACACATGCTGCCTGCTACTTATTTTGGTGTTTTGCTTGACCCTCCACAGTTCAGGGCCTAGATCATAACACTGTATTGTGTGCATCTTCAAGACAGTTCCCTACAGGCATGTCCACAGGCAAATTTGACCTAGGGTATCACTGAACTAAGACTGTCTACCTTGGTGATTCTCGGTTCATTCAAGTTGACAAAGAGTTCAAGTAAAAAGGGTTGAAGTGCAAACCTATTATTTATTCGGCTACTTCATGTCAAAATATTTACCAGAAAAATATATTCATCTGAATATATTTGAATGTGAGTATTGAAAAAAGTTCCACAATCACCCAAATGTAGAAACCATTGGAATATCCATTGATAGGTGCAGAAATTTTCCCCTAAAAAGTAGTTTATTAATAAAATTAAGTAATAATCATATAAAGAAGGTCATACAAAGGATGGAACACAAAGGGAGAGAGAAATCTTTTGTAATAATAATGTTTATGCTGTTCATGATGATTAAGGAAAAAGTTTCAGGGGTATGTATATCTACTATGAAGAATAAAATGGTGCACATTAAATGTATTCAGCACCGAAAATTTACTCTGCCTACAAGATGTGCAGGCATTAAGATAGAGCAGAGATTGAGGGAACGTCCAACTAATGCCTAGCCCAGCCTGAGACCCACCTACTGAGAGAGAGCTAACCCCTGACACTATTAACAATATTCTGCTGTGTTCACGGGATCCTAACATAGCTAGGAGAGGCTATGTCCTCTGAGAGGCTCTACCCAGCAGCAGATCCAAACAAATTCAGAGACTGAAAGTCAAACATTGGGCAAAGTATAAGGAATCTTGTGGAAAAGTGGGGAGAAAGATAGAAGAACCTGGGGGTGACAGGAGCTCCACAAGAAGGCCAATAGAGCCAACTAATTAGGGGCCAGAGGGATTTGCAGAGACTGAAGCACCAAGAAAGGACCATGCATAGACCAAACCTAAGCCCCATATAAAAATGTAGCAGATGGGCAGTTTAGGATTCATGTGTATTTCCTAGTAAGGGGAGCTGGAGCTGACTCTAACATGGACCTTGTTGCCTGATTTTTCATTGCTTTCCCCTGTGCCTCACCATGCCCAAGGGAAGAAGACACACTCCGTCCTGATATGACTTAATGAACTGGGGTGAGTGGGTGGGTTGGGAGAACTCCCCTTTTCTAAGGAATAGAGAGGAAGGATGGGGGATGAGGAAGGGAAGGTAGGACCAGAAGGAGAGGAGTAAGGGGGCTACAATCAGGATGTAAAGTGAATAAATAAATACATAAACAAACAAATAAAGAAATTTAAAAATGTGTTCAGCAGGTTCATGTGTTATTTGGATAAGGAAATGAGACACTGGGGATAGTAATAGAGGATATGAAAGTTTTCTCAGCTGTGTACCACATGACACAAGTGTAGGAGGTACAGGGAGAGATAGCCAGAGAGAGTGTTGTGAAGGGCTGTGCAAACAGTGACAAGTGATACTTCATTTAAATTTGTCTCTTCTGTGTTGTGGTAGCCTAGTTCTGTGCTTTCCCCTAAAAGTTGATTCGCTTGTAAACCACCTGTGGTTTGATTGGCAGGAGGTAGAACCTTCAGCAGATTAGGAATAGTGGGAGGTCTTTGGGTCATTGGCAGTGTGTCCCTAAGGGAGATTCACTCCTAAGGGAGGATTCATTTCCTCTTCTCTCTCCGGGCAAGTGAACAATTTTTATCCACCATCATAAGCTCCAGATGAATGAATATATTTCTGAAGATCTAAAACAATGGGCCTCCATGTCTGAGAGCCAAAATTTCCAAAAGTGCAAGCCAAAATGAACATTTATCTTTTGAGTTGATTTGTCTTGCCATTTGTAATGAGAAATAGGACAATAACATATATACTATGATTTTCTTAGTATCCAAATGCTATCCAATAGTGTGTGTTTTGCAGCTTTAAGAGAAGCATCCCTTTCTTTTTTTTTTTTTTTTTGAATTTTATTTTTTTCTTATCAGTTACATTTTATTAACTCTGTATCCCAGCCGTGTCCCGATCCCTCATTCCCTCCCAGTCCCTTCCTCCCTCCCTCATCTCCACCATGCCCCTTGCCAAGTCCACTGATAGGGGGGACCTCCTCCCCATTCATCTGATCCTGTTTTATCAGGTATCTTCAGGACTGGCTGCAAAGCTCTCCTCTGTGGCCTAACAGGACTGCTCCTCCCTTGGGGGGTGAGGAGGCCAAAGAGCCAGTCATTGAGTTCCTGTTAGAAATAGTCCTTGTTCCCCTCACTATGGGAAACCCATTGGTTACTGAGCTACCACAGGCTACATCTGAGCAGAGGTTCTAGGTTACATTCATACATGGTCCTTGGTTGCATGTCAGTCTCAAAAAAGACCCTGTGCCCAGATATATTTGGTCCTTGTGGAGCTCCTATCCTTTCCTCATCAGACTAACTCCCCTTCTTTTTTATGATTCTCTGTACTCTGCCAAAGGTTTGGTCATGAGTCTTTGCTTTGAAAACACCTGATAAAACAGGGTCAGATGAAAGGGGAGGAGGTCCTCCCCTATCAGTGGACTTGGAAAGGGGCAGGGAGGAGACCAGGGAGGGAGTGTGGGGATGGGGAGGGAATGAGGGAGCGGATACAGCTGGGACACAGAGTTAACAAAATGTAACTAAAAAGAAAAAAAAAAAAAAAAAGAAAACACTGCTAGTTAGAGAAGCATCCCTTTCAAATGTGGCATAGCTT